AGAGTTTATTCATACTTTTATTAAGTATAACATAAGATTTTGTGGTATCCACTAGTGTAAATATTTTAAATTTGAAGATCGAATTCAATCATTGTATTTCATATAGGGTCAAGGAGTGTAGTTGTAAAAAATCATCAAAATCGGAGTTAAAATGACCGTTAAATCGTGATTTTTCGTTTATAACCGTCGAAAACTTTTGTCCCGTTACTTGATCTCTGAATGTTTGTTTTTTTCACTTTTTGGCGTATGCGATCTCGAAGTATATATAAACATGTTTGACGGTTGGATCATTGAAACTAGTTTCGTAGAATGAGTATCTCATCAAAACAATAGATTCACTAATACTTAATTGTTTATTCATACTTTTATTAAGTATAATATAAGATTTTGTGGTATCCACTAGTGTAAATATTTTAAATTGAAGATCGAATTCAATCGTTGTATTCATATATGATCAAGGAGTGTGGTTGTAAAAAATCATCAAAATCGGAGTTAAAATGACCGTTAAATCGTGATTTTTCGTTTATAACCGTCGAAAACCTTTGTCCCGTTACTTGATCTGTGAATGTTTGTTTTTTGTAATTTTTGACGTATGCGATCTCGAAGTATATACAAACATGTTTGACGGTTGGATCTTTGAAACTAGTTTCGCAGAATGAGTATCCCATCAAAATAATATATTCACTAATACTTAATAGTTTATTCATACTTTTATTAAGTATAACATAAGATTTTGTGGTATCCACTAGTGTAAATATTTTAAATTGAAGATCGAATTCAATCGTTGTATTCATATATGATCAAGGAGTGTAGCTGCAAAAAATCATCAAAATTAGAGTTAAAATGACCGTTAAATCGTGATTTTTCTTTTTATAACCGTCGAAAAGTTTTGTCTTTTTACTTGCTCTCTAAATGTTTGTTTTTTGCAATTTTTGGCGTATGCGATCTCGAAATATATACAAACATGTTTGACGGTTGGATCATTGAAACTAGTTTCGTAGAATGAGTATCCCATCAAAACAATAGATTCACTAATACTTAAGAGTTTATTCATACTTTTATTAAGTATAACATAAGATTTTGTGGTATCCACTAGTGTAAATATTTTAAATTGAAGATCGAATTCAATCATTGTATTCATATAGGGTCAAGGAGTGTATTTGTAAAAAATCATCAAAATCGGAGTTAAAATGACCGTTAAATCGTGATTTTTCGTTTATAACCGTCGAAATGTTTTGTCCCGTTACTTGATCTCTGAATGTTTTCTTTTTGCAATTTTTGGCGTATGCGATCTCGAAGTATATATAAACATGTTTGACGGTTGGATCATTGAAACTAGTTTCGTAGAATGAGTATCCCATCAAAACTATAGATTCACTAATACTTAATAGTTTATTCATACTTTTATTAAGTATAATATAAGATTTTGTGGTATCCACTAGTGTAAATATTTTAAATTGAAGATCGAATTCAATCATTGTATTCATATAAGGTCAAGGAGTGTAGCTGCAAAAAATCATCAAAATCAGAGTTAAAATGACCGTTAAATCGTGATTTTTCTTTTTATAACCGTCGAAAAGTTTTGTCCCGTTAACTGATCTCTGAATGTTTGTTTTTTGTAATTTTTGATGTATGCGATCTCGAAGTATATACAAACATGTTTGACGGTTGGATCTTTGAAACTAGTTTCGTAGAATGAGTTTCCCATCAAAACAATAGATTCACTAATACTTAATAGTTTATTCATACTTTTATTAAGTATAACATAAGATTTTGTGGTATCCACTAGTGTAAATATTTTAAATTGAAGATCGAATTCATTATTTGTATTCATATAGGGTCAAGGAGTGTAGTTGTAAAAAAGCATCAAAATCGGAGTTAAAATAATCGTTAAATCGTGATTTTTCGTTTATAACCGTTGAAAACTTTTGCCCCGTTACTTGATCTCTGAATGTTTGTTTTTTGCAATTTTTGGCGTATGCGATCTCGAAGTATATACAAACATGTTTGACGGTTGGATCATTGAAACTAGTTTTGTAGAATGAGTATGCCATCAAAACAATAGATTCAGTAATACTTAAGAGTTTATTCATACTTTTATTAAGTATAACATAAGATTTTGTGGTATCCACCAGTGTAAATATTTTAAATTGAAGATCGAATTCAATCATTGTATTCATATAGGGTCAAGGAGTGTGGTTGTTGTAAAAAAATCATCAAAAATCGGAGTTAAAATGACCGTTTAAATCGTGATTTTTTTCGTTTATAACCGTCGAAAAGTTTTGTCCCGTTACTTGATCTCTGAATGTTTGTTTTTTGCAATTTTTGACGTATGCGATCTCGAAGTATATACAAACATATTTGACGGTTGGATCTTTGAAAATAGTTTCGTAGAATGAGTATCCCATCAAAACAATAGATTCACTAATACTTAATAGTTTATTCATACTTTTATTAAGTATAACATAAGATTTTGTGGTATCCACTAGTGTAAATATTTTAAATTGAAGATCGAATTCATTACTTGTATTCATATAGGGTCAAGGAGTGTAGTTGTCAAAAATCATCAAAATCGGAGTTAAAATAACCGTTAAATCGTGATTTTTCGTTTATAACCGTCGAAAAGTTTTGTCCCGTTACTTGATCTCTGAATGTTTGTTTTTTGCAATTTTTGACGTATGCGATCTCGAAGTATATACAAACATGTTTGATGGTTGGATCATTGAAACTAGTTTTGTAGAATGAGTATCCCATCAAAACAATAGATTCACTAATACTTAAGAGTTTATTCATACTTTTATTAAGTATAACATAAGATTTTGTGGTATCCACTAGTGTAAATATTTTAAATTAAAGATCGAATTCAATCATTGTATTCATATAGGGTCAAGGAGTGTGTTTGTAAAAAATCATCAAAATCGGAGTTAAAATGACCGTTAAATCGTGATTTTTCGTTTATAACCGTCGAAAATTTTTGTCCCGTTACTTGATCTCTGAATGTTTGTTTTTTGCAATTTTTGATGTATGCGATCTCGAAGTATATACAAACATGTTTGACGGTTGGATCGTTGAAATTAGTTTCGTATAATTCGTATCCCATGAAGTTCAATGGTGTGTGTGTGTGTATATATGTATTTATTTATTAAGTAGATTTAAATCTATTTATTTTGTATGTATAATTATTATAGTTTTTAGGGGTATAAAATTTAATATATATATATATATATATAATTATTATAGTTAATATTTTGGGTATAATTATTATAGTTAATTTAATATATATATATATAATTATTATAGTTTTTAGGGGTATAAAATTGTTAAATTAATATATATATAATTATTATAGTATTTTTTTAGGGTTATAAATTATTAAATTAATATTCTGCTGATCGTGTATCGTGTTACCCACGTGTATACCCGAACAAACCCGTTATCTTAACAGGTGCTTATCGGGTTACCCGATAACGATCCGTTTCGTTATCGTGTCGACCCGAACACCTGTTAATTTCGTGTCGTGTCGTGTCGGGTTATCGGGTCGTGTCAGGAATTGCCAGGCCTACCTGAAGCCCTCATAGAATCGGCATCTCGCAGTATGGTCCGGACCACCGCACTTTGGATCATCGCATTCCAATAGCACATACACGACAAATCTCATATGCAGCCGCCCGAGAGAAAACCGAATCCTCTGCAATCGTTATAGCACGTGCTCTCCTGGTGTTTGGTCCAACAAATTTTCCAATTCCACTTTGAGTTCCTTCTCTTGTCACATAAGTCTAACGCCTGTGCCGCCACCCTATTTTCTACAGTCAAAATTAACCAAAAGAACAATAATTGATTGTATTTCAGTTCAGGATTAAGAATTTTAAACAAAAATACATATATATCATTCTTACATTTGTCAGATTTGAATCCTGGATTTCGTCATACCAAGTGGGAACCAAATTTTGGTAGATATCATGCATGAAAGTTCTTTTTTGTTCTTTTTTTTTTTTTTTTTTTCAAAATACATGACAAAGTGGGATTTACAACGATGTCCCTTATGCGAAGAGGAATATTTCGGTTGAAGCTCCTTTACATGGGGAAGAAACTTCCACTTTTGACAAAAGAATCAAAAGATAGTGCATTCAAATGAAAAAATAATAAAAGATTGTTAAAATCATACTAGATATTGCCACTTTGAATCACATTATTGCTAACTCATTGTGAGGCTAAACTCACCCCCTCCCCCTTAACGTAGATAATATGGTTTGTTCCAAAAAAAAAAAAAAACCATTCTAGATATTCTTTTCTTTTCATGTTTTACCTTTACAAGGTCTACAGAGACTAAAACGAAAGTAAAAAAAAAAAAATCACTTTCTAATGAGATGGACTTAAGCGAAGGTGAGAAAGCAGCAACAAAATATATGAATCCAAAAGAGCCTTGTATTCATGGGTACGAGACTGCTTGACTTCATGTTTTGTCTTCTATTCTTCGCTAGCTCTACGGGGTTCTACTCCTTTGTTCCCTTTTTAAAGTAATTTTCTTCTCTTTGATGTAATAATTGCCTTAAATTTAAGTAATTACTAGCCTCTTGCCACACGATACGCATGTGGCAATTGACATTTTTATATATATTTTATTTAAATAATTAATTTACATAATTTTTAAAAAATTATTTAAAAAAAAAAAGAAGAAATGAATTAAAAACGTGAAACCACCCACTAATGTGGGAGGTTTTGTTTTTTTTTTTTCTATAATTTTAAATATTAAATTCATTCAAAATAAAAATATGGTTAAATACTTTAGCTTCTTTTGATTCAATTGTAATTTATAAAATTCTTAAAGGACAATTTATGGTATTTTGAATGTTTCACCATTTTAGGGTGCTCACTTTATATATATATAATATATAATATATATATATATATCTTTTATTTAAATAATTAATTTACATCTTTAATCTTTAATCTTTAATATTAGAAAGCCAGAAGGAGAGTTTGGTGTCTCAAGGCTTCACCAAAACTTTTTGGACAAAAAAACCCCCGAAACAAAAAAAAATCACAACTGGCCGAAAATAATAGAAACAAATTCGCAAGGGTAATTTTATCATAAAAAATAGACAAATGGGAAATAAAAAAAATTAAAAAGCTAAAAAAAAGGAAAAAGAAAGAAAAAAGACATGAGTGAAAAAAATAAAGGTGGTGTATCGTTTTCAACCGTTTGATTCCCCCACTTTCTCAATAACCTCTCTCAATTAACCATTTCTTCCCTCAAACAGAGATCAGCTTCACATCCACTACAATTGCACGTTTGAATCAAAAAGATCAGTTGACCTCCTCAGCCTAAATCTCATCCTTTTCTCCCATACGCTCAAAACGAAAAGTGGTGTCATTCGTATCTTTTCTCAAATTCAATGCTCTAAATTGTAGGTTTGTGATTTTTATTTATTTGTTCTCTTATCTTCTACTGATGTGGTTTTGTGAAGGTGTGGCGAGGTTTTGCCGGGCGAAGTCAGGGTTCTGGAGTGACAAAGTGAAGTTGCTGGTCGCGGCGGAGGAAGGATTTACTCTGGTTCTTGGCAGTGGGAAGGACTTGAGGAGTTTAAGAGAGATGAGTTAGTGAAGGTTGATGGAGAGGGGCAGTGTGTTATGAAAGATCATGGGTATTTTGGTACGTTTAGCCTTAGCTCCATGCTTTAAATTCGAGTCCTGTGATTTCATTTGTTGGAGAAAGTTTAAAGCTTTATATTGCCAATGGTTGCGTAGTTCTCTTCAATTTGTATGGTTGTGATGATACAGAAATAATGAGTTTACGTTCAAATTTTCCAAGACTTTAGAGGTAACCAAATTGACCCTTACAATCTTTTAAGTTGCCATTGCATTCAGATTATTTTTTTGGTTTTATCAAGCGAAAGTTAGAATTGTTACTCTCTTTGATTTTGTTAATTAATGTTGATAATTTTTGTGTAGAAAAGGTGGCAGTCTCTCCTCTGTCAAGGGAGGAGTTATTTGTTGTTGGGGATCTTATGCGCAACCAGATTTGAGAACCAATAAGATGCATGCTTGATCTGTATGGAGTGGAGTGGGGTTATCTGCGCATGTAATTTTATGCAGAGTTTCATAAGTGGGGTTCAGTACCTAATATATCCTCAAATTCCTAATACAAGCGATCAGACTAATTAATTATTTAATTTATTGTTTTTTTTTTTTGAATTTTTCATTGCATAAATAAACTTGGGGTTTCTGAATTTCGGATGTGTTTTTTGAAACAGTGTTGCAATTTGGCTGCACAGAGGGACAATAATAATTTTTTCTTGACATGATTATGAAATGCCCAGGCGAGAAAGGTATAAAATGGTCTAAGTTTACCGGCTCAACCCGGCTTACTCTTATTTACTAATTAATTTTCCACCCAATGCGATACCCGAAATGTTCTTATTTACTAAGTAATTTTCGCCTGCATGTTTATCAGGCACTCATCGACTCATATTCCTTAAAGGTACTGAGTTTAAATTCGTCTTTATTGTTATGTATTCTAAATTCTTTATTAAATTTGTTATAAGAAATTCTAACTTTATATATACCTTCAATATATAGGTGGCGCATGAAAATGGCTGTAGAAGAATTAAAACCTTCAACAACTCCTCACATCACACGAGTTTTGTGACTTATCCGGGTTGTTGTTTGCCCGGTGCACCATTCTCATGGTGTAGGGGGCGTTTATACAGGTTTAGTTGATACGAGGAGCTTTGGGGTTTTAGACAGATGTCAGAGATCTTGGAGTGTTAGGTAACCCCTATACTTTTCCTTGCATAGTTGTTGTAAATATTCTCAATTTCAATTCAGTATTCAGTTTGTATTTCCTAGCATCCCCTTATAGTCTAGTGTCGCACATCGATCCTGGACATATGTCAAGATCAGGGTGTGATAAGAATAGTAGGAGCCTCGTGAGGAATAGGCCAAATCGCTAGAGAAGAAATGATAGGACTATCTAAACCTTGAGAGTATCCAAGAATAAAGATCCAGCCATGAATGAGCCCAGGAATGATAGACATGTAAAGACAATGAAAAGACATTGAACGACCCTGAAAAAATAAAGGCTTTTTATTCAAAATGGTCCTTGAGATTTGCATCATCCATAAGTTTGGTCCCTGAGATTTAAAATCAATAGAAGTAGTCCCTGGGATTGTCCACCATCTATGATTTTGGTCCTTCCGCTGAAGCTTTTGGCCGGAAGTTTGGGCAATTTTCAAAGCTTCGTAACTTAATCGTTTCTTAACTAAATTCGACCCATAATATATCAAAATGAAGATAGGAAAGTGTAGTATAAAATTATATCTATTGGAAGCCCAATGATTACCGAGATGGTCAGAAAATAGCCTCAAAGTTGACTGGTCCGAGGGAAAATTGGAAAACTTGCCGGAAACTCGCCGAAAACTGGGTAAACTTTAAACGTTCATTACTTCTTCAATACTCAACGAAATCAAGTGATTCAAAAATGAAAATCATACTTCTCAACGAGAAGAAGAGAATGGTACCTTTTTCAACAACTAACTTGCCATGGTTTGGCGGGAAAACGGCTCGAATGTTGCTGACTCATTTTTCAATAGCCATTTTCAAGCCGTTTTCCGGCCAAACCACGACGATTTAGCCATTGAAAAAGGTACCATTCTCTTCTTCTTGTCGAGAAGTATGAAGAAGTTATGAATGTTTTTGAATCACTTAATTTCGTTGCGTATTGAAGAAGTTATGAACGTTTAAAGTTTACCCAGTTTCCAGCGAGTTTTCCAATTTTTCCTCGGACCAGTCAATTTTGAGGCTATTTTCCAACCATTTCCGGCAACCATTGGGCTTCCAAATAGATATAATCTTATTCTATACTTTCCTATCTTCATTTTGATATATTACGGGTCGAATTTGGTTAAGAAACGATTGAGTTACGAAGCTTTGAAAATTGCCCAAACTTTCGGCCAAAAGCTTCAGCGGAAGGACCAAAATCATGGATGGTAGACAATCTCAGGGACTACTTCTATTGATTTGAAATCTCAGGGACCAAACTTATGGATGATGCAAATCTTATGGATCATTTTGAATAAAAAGCCAAAAATAAAATTGCTTCGAGCTTTTAAAATGGCCAAAATAGTAAAAAGACCTGCAAAAACTTAGAGATTGTACAACTAAAGGGAAAAGGGCTTATGCACAAAAGTATCACCAAAAATAAAATTCTAAGAATCTGAAAAAGGCAAAGATGTACCAAATTGATACGATAACCATGTCGCTGTAGTGCACCTCGCGAAAAGTTTATCATTAAAAAGAAGCTAAGCAAAAATAGATTTTCGAGGTGGAATGAATTGCCGCGAAATAACTTTTGCCCAAACACAATCACTATGTCTCATTCGAATTATATCATAACCAGAAGAGAAGAAAAATTTCCCATAAGGAGATTGCTCCCAAATCAATATGCCATCAGTCATTGTCAAGGGCAAAGATGATGCAAAATATTTTGTACCACAAGTGGGAATAAATTTATAAAATAATCCGTAATGACAAACTCTGAGCTTGAGTGCATTTGAAACCCAAAGATGAACTGTAGGAGAAATGACCGAAGATAATGAAGGGCTATTAATCGGCTCATCTAACCATTTATCAAACAAAAAAGAAACTGACTTCTCATCTCCAATAATCCAAAGGCTATTGATTCCTAATCTTTAGGAATACAATAGGAATTAAATTATAATACTAATTCCTAAAATTTAGAGCCACGGGTTCCTTGCACGGTATTAGAGTAGGTTGTCTCATGTGTGAAGTCTAGCGACCACACATGCTCCAAGTCACCTCGTTTGTGTTCTCCACATGTTTGGCTTGAAAATTTGCCACACATGAGGGAGCGTGTTGAGAATGAATCTTGCATTGATGGATGATGGACCTTGCATGAGATTATAAGTTAGCTACTTCTCATATGGTTTTATGGTGAAACTCCAACTTCCTTCAATTTTTTTTTTTTCAAAAGAACACGGATATCGAATTTGAACATCTTCTAATATGAATAGAAATATCCCTAGATTATGGATCATTTAATAATTTTGTATGTGAAAAAAAAAAATTCCTAACACCTAATTTTTTGTCTTGCTTTGACATTATCACTTATGCAGTTGGTTGGAAATATACAAACGGGGATCTCTTGTTCCTACTCAGTAATGAAAAAATAAAAAATAAAAAATTAAGGATCCATATCCTATTTGCCCACGATCATTGATCTACAATTCAAGCACGTTAGGGTGCTGCAACTTTGAAATTAAAAAATAAAGTGGGGACGCATGACTTCTTATCCCTCATTGACTTGGTAGTTGGTATGCGTTAAGTCCTTTGAAGCAAAACTAGTACCCCTTACCAATCATTCATTTAGCTTGAAGTACATAATAATGAATTTTTTTTTTTAAAACAACTAGTGGTAAGCCACACTTATCCACTTTTTTCGAATCTAAAGAGGCTATTGGTACTTAACAATGATTTGGGTGGATCACATTTTGCACTTGGCAAAAAACAACCAAAAAGTTGCGATCGATAATGGCCCCTCCATTCTTTTAAACATAGACATTTGTTAATTCTTGTGACATCAAGAGATAGTGTCAATATAAAATAAAATAAATAAAATAGTCCAAATACCTAAATATAATTTTCACATCAAAGAATCGCCAAGTCTTGAAAGAACTTAAAGAGAGTTAGACTACTCTGCATATTGCCAGTTAATTGAAGAACATATGTTCACAATTTAATATGGTAATAGAGTCAGGCTGATTCACGTGTGAAACTCTATAGTCATACGTCCAAGTCGCTAAATTTCTATTGTCTTCATGCTAGGCTCTTGTAAGTTTGTCACACATAGGTGATTGTGTGAAAATGTGAAAAACATAGTCTCACATTGAAGAATGCCCAAACCTTGCCACTAAAAGAAACAAAAAATGGCATTTGACATCTAGACCGAGGATTCACGACAACAACAAAAAATTGAGCAATATGGAAAATTCGTTACTAAAGCTTGTTTACAATAGTGTTACTCACAGAAAATGAAAAGTCGTGACAAACAGACCAATAAGTCAGTTTAGTGTATTAGCTACAGTTTTGCGGTCGCTATTACCCGCAAACTGACGTTTGAACAACATAAAATGTCAAACATTGGGTAAAAGTAAATACAGGAAGTACCATGGCCCTTTCTATTGACTTGGTAAGTACTTTAATTTCTTCCACGTAACCACATGGATCTATATTATATATTTCAAATTAAGATCATCAAGCCATCAACTTTACCCCGCCAATTTCTCCTTCTAGCCAAACTCCAGGTTACCAGGTACTTCAATAGCCGCAGAGAAAATGGGAGCTGTATTGATTCCAAACAAACTCACGAGTTATGTATGTAACTATCAACAGTGGAGATCTTCATCTCTTTCGTTTTTTCACTCCCACAATCTTTCTGGCATCATTGATGGGACAGACACTCGTCCTCATCAGCCAGTTCAGCATCCTGACTTTACTAAATGGTACCTAAGAGATCAAGAGGCTTTGAAGTGGTTTAAAAACACTCTATCTAAAGGTCTCCAGCAACATGTCATGGCCGATGCTGACTCTTCGCGGAAGGTCTGGCTCAATCTTGAGAACCACTTTGCCAGTCTTTCTTACGCTCGCATCTATACACTCAAATATCATCTACACAATGTAAAGAAAGATGTTACCATATCAATGACGGGCTCTCTGAAAGTGAAAACTATCAAACATTTTGCGGACTTGCTTGCAGCTGAAGGTGCTCCTCTTGAGTACGGTGAATTAGTTCATGTACACATCCTGGCAGAGTGGCAGGTTTACCGGAGGAGTATAATCCCATTCGTAGGATGAACATTTCTCCTGTGAGTAGTTGGGATGAGCTGCAACAGTTACTGTTGGAACAGGAAGAGAAAATACATCTTGATGAACAACGGAGTACTGCCATTAGGCAACCCATACAGCTGCCTCCACCGCGCATTATTTCACCTACACCACAGCGTATTATTTCTCCTCCCATCTTCTTTTGCTGGCAATATTATTTCATCTGCACCACCACGTATTAATAATAATATTTCCGATCATCTATTTCCCTCTCATGGCTGCCGCGAAGAAAACCATGCAGTTGGGATTGATCTGGGAACAACGCATTCCCGTGTAGCCGTGTGGCACAAAGATCATGTAGAAATCATACTGAACGATCAGGGCAACAGGAAGACTCCATCTTATGTTGCATTCTCTGAAACTGATGAGAGGTTGGTAGGTGACCAAGCATTTAATCAAGTCGTGAGAAACAGCGCCAACTCAATCTATGGTACGTAGGATTAAAATGAAAATTTAAAACTGAAAACGATTTTTTATTTTATTTAAGTTTTGTTTCATAGATTGTTCTTTGTTTTTCCCTTCTCCATCAAACCACCTTTCTTTATCCCCCGTTTCCTCTATTTATAAACCAAAAGAATGAAAAATTGCAATTTGTTTACCTTTACATTTTCAGTTTTTAAGTATTAGTTTCCAAATTTTTGCCTTAGATAGAGATGAAATATATGGGAGAAAATGAGGGATAATGGAGGGTGGAGGAATTGTGAGGGATAATGGAAACTGCAAAAAAAAAAAAAAAAAAAGGGGTAAATTACACTTTACCACCTTAGGTTTGAGGTTTATTGCAACCTCATACAACATCTTTAAAAAATTTCACTTTCATACCTCACGTACTATTTTATTTCAATATAATACATCCGTTACATTTTTCATCAATTACTCCATTAAGAGCTGACGTGGCTGCCACATTTATTCTGACATGGCTACCAAATATGTACCACGTGGCAAAAAAATAATTTTGTATTCATTTAAAATATTACAATAATTTATCCTATTAAAAAAAAAGGAAACCCAGAACCCATTCCCCTGATCCACCTCCATCTCCTCCACTCTCTTCACCTCCCCTCCCATCCAAAAACCCACCCCACACCCACCTCCCCCGCAACCCCCCCCCCCACCCCACCCCACCTCCCCTGTGACCCACCCCACCCGAATTGCCTGAAACGAGTGGCCCGGGTGGGAGTCGACGAAGAAGGCGTCGCTGGAGACGCGGACTCAGGGCAATGCGAGTCCACGTATTTTTATTTTGATCTTTTAATGTCAGAGTTCAAGGATGCCAAAGGCGGTTCGCGATAGCAGGTGAGGGGAAAATTTTGGATATTTTAGTTTTTTGGTTTTTAGTTTTGTTGGGTTTTTGAGGATTTGAAATTGAATGGGTAGGCGTTGCATATTCTTTCGAAAGATAACAAGGTGTGTTTGGTTAGAGGGAAATTGAGAGAAAATGGGTAGGAAATGTTTGGATTTCTTTGTGTTCTGTTGAGTGTGGGAAAATTTGGAACTTTTTCAGTTTTTGGCTTCTGGGATGGAGATTAACGAATCTGGAGAAGGGGTGGGGAAGACGAAGGGGACTTTTGGAGGTTTTCTAATTTAATTTAATTTAGTTTTATATTTTTCTTCAATTAATTATTTTAATATTTTAAAATTTTTATTAAGTGTTTAGCCACGTGGCACAAATGTGGCAGCCACGTCAGCACAAATGGGGACCTCATATTTGCCACATCATCACTTAATGGTTAACTTAACATATTTTTTAACGGTTGTATGAAATTGAAATGTTTAAAAGATATTGTAAGAAATTGAAATCGACTCCAAACCTGAAGGGGTAAAATGTCATTTACCCAAAAAAAAAATTTTTGTTTTCATATGCAAGTTTTGGTTTCATTCATTAGTTGCTTTCCATTCCGTACCTCCGACCGCCATCCCTGTACCTTAACCCATATGTTATCAAATGTACTTTCTCTCCATATATATGTAACAATAGAAAATGAGAACTAAGAACAAAACATGAAAAGGCTACCAAACTAGCCTTTCATACCCAAGCTGGAAATATTTCTTTCCTACAATACTGTTGTTTTCTTTTCAGAGAATAGTTCTATAAAAGTCGTATATTTAAAAACTTAAATGTTTTGTGGTAGAATTTGTCTAAATGAAATTGGCATCAATCAATTTGCAGATACAAAGCGGTTACTTGGTAGGAAATTCAGTGACACCTTTGTTCAAAGTCATGTCAATCTGTGGCCATTCAAGGTCATTGAAGGTCCAGCTGACAACCCAATGATTGTGGTTACCCACAATGGCCAAGAGAAACGAGTTTCTATTGAAGAAATCACATCCATGGTTCTGGAAAAGATGCGGAAGATTGCTGATACCTACCTGGGCTCAACTGTGAAAAATGCAGTTATCACTGTCCCCGCTTACTTCAATGACTCACAGCGTCAGGCTACAAAAGATGCTGGTGTTTCTGCTGGCTTAAATGTGATGTGCATTATTAACGAACCAAGTGCTGCTGCCATTGCTTATGGCCTTCACAAGAAGGCCGGTTGGACTCGCATGAGAAATGTGTTGATATTTGATTTGGGTGATGGTACTTTAGATGTGTCATTGCTTACCATGACTAGTTCTGGTGATTTTCAAGTCAAGGCAACGGTTGGAGACACTCACCTTGGGGGTGAAGACTTTGATAACAGAATGGTCAACTATTGTGTTGAGGAATTCAAGAGCAAGTATAAATTGGATGTTAGTAGAAACTTTAGAGCTCTTAGGAGGTTAAAAAATCAATGTGAGAAGGCAAAAAAGGGACTCTCATTTGAATCTGATATTGAAATTGAAATTGACTGTTTGTGCGAGAATACGCGTACTGATTTCACCATAATTATTATTCGTGCTCAATTTGAACACCTAAACTTGGATTTATTCATGAAGTGTATGGAGCCTGTTGAGAAGTGTTTGAGGGAGGCTAACATGAACATAAGCAGTGTGGATGACGTTGTTCTTGCTGGTGGCTCTTCTAGAATTCCAAAGGTGCAACAGCTACTACAGGAGGTTTTCAAGGGGAAGGAGCTGTGCAAGGGCATTAATCCAGATGAGGCTGTGGCATATGGCGCCGCTGTTTGTGGATGTCACTCCTCTGCCACTTTTTGTGGAGGGTACAGATTATGATTCAAGTTTTGGATTTGATTCCAAAATGCTCTAGAATTCCTGTGACGAACGTATTATATCTTTCTACCGTTAAGGACAACCAAGACACCATCGATTTCCGCATATATGAGGGCGAGAGTAGCATACCGGAGAATAGTTACTTTTTGGGTGAATGTAGCCTCCGGGACATTCCTCCAACACGAGAAATTTTTAGTTGTGACGGGAACACAAATGGTACACACGTGTTTTAATAGGAGTGGTGGAAAATTTTATTTTTTAAGTTATTAACCTTTTAGCGCACATATTTCACCATTTGTATACTGACACGTGGTGTACCACTTCGTATGCCGGTCACACTGAAAAATCTCTCCTCCAGCACCCACTAAAGCTCATAAGTTTGATGTTTGCTTTAACATTGATGCTGATGGTATCTTGAGTGTGTTCGTTCAGGATAAGTCCACTGGCCACAAGAATAAGATCACAATCAACCGTGGCATACATAGAACAATTCACATTACATTGAACTGTGGCTAAAAAGTATATCGCCTTTGCACGTTTTATAAGCAAAACTTATAGCTAAGCAGTTATTACTGTGGAGCAAAACCTCGGGAATTGATCTAAATCTAGATGTGTAATTGAGTTTATGCAATTTAATGATTAAACTAATAAATATTTCAACCATATATGAATTTAATACCACAACATCTTTTAGGCTCTATATGCTAACAAAGTTGCGGACAAAAATTCACAATACATAGAACTGTGGTTAAAAAGTATATTGCCTTTGCACGTTTTATATATAGGATAACTCATAGGTAAGCAGTTTTATTGTTGACCAAACTTGAATGTATAATTGAGCATATGCATTTTAGTGATTAAATTCATAAATATCTCGACCACATATGAATTTAATATGGTATTGTCTTTTAGCCTCTATATTGGTATCTATGGCAAAAAAATGGGTACCTCCATGAAATTTTTTTGTAGATCGATGAATATTTTGAATCTGGATATTTATTAGATACCAGAAATTACAAGTCTAAACGCAAAAGTCTAAGTCAATGCCACGTACAATATTTGTTAAGACATATTTAGGGAACTGTTATTAGCACTCTAAAAAACTAATTCTACACTCCGCATAAGTGTATTTTTCTTTCTAATTATAGAAAGTTTGGATTGCCAAACGAGATTTTTAGAGTGCTAATGACAATTTTCTATATTTATATACATTTTATTTTAGTTTGAAAGTCGACTTCCTTTTTTTTTCGTTCTTTATCAAGTTGGGAGTATCACTGACTGTGATCCTGTGCAACTAGTTGTTGATTTGTTTTGAATAATCAACATTATTTCTTACAATGTCTTAGGCGTATGAATAACGGAAAGAAAACAATCATGATACAAGCTAATAGTAGTAATACTAATTAGTAAACAACTTGTGCATGATGTTTGCTTATAAGCATGAAGGGACAAATGTGTAGGTTTCATGCATGACTTGGAATAGTATTGATGTTTGCTTATAACCAATTGGCATGAATGGACAAATGTGTATGTTTCATGCAAGACTTGGAATAGTATTAGTCGTTGGGAGATTTTGCATCAATTTGTTTTTGTTTTTAATATGTATATATTAAGTTCTATTTTAATGGGATTGCTCACCACCCTTAAGTTGTGATAATGCCTTTATTTATCGTTGTTATATGAGTTTAATTAAATTTTGAGATCGTGTTTATCCACTACATACATTTCGATTTTTTTTTTTGAGTCGAGCAATAGCATTAGTAAGTTAGATGTTAGATTAGTCATTGACAGAATTCAAACTCACGCCGTCATGTAAGAGCACAACATTTTTTTACCACTATGGTAAAGGCCACTTGCCAACAAGTTGATTGGCCTATGTGACTTTACTAATAATATTCCAAGTCATGCATGAAACATACACATTTGTCCCTTCATGCCATAAGCAAACATCAATACTATTCCAAGTCATGCATGAAACCTACACATTTGTCCCTTCATGCCACTTGGTTATAAGCAAACATCATGCACAAGTTGTTTACTAATTAGTATTACTACTATTAGCTTGTATCATGACTATTTTCTTTCCGTTATTCATACGCCCAAGACATTGTAAGAAACAATGTTGATTATTCAAAACGAATCAACAACTAGTTGTACAGGATCATAGTCAGTGATACTCCCAACTTGATAAAGAAAGAAAAAAAAAGGAAGTCGACTTCCAAACTAAAATAAAATGTATATAAATATAGAAAATTGTCATTAGCACTCAAAAAATCTCATTTGGCACTCCAAACTTTCTATAATTAGAAAGAAAAATACACTTGTGCAAAATATAGAATGAGATTTTTGGAGTGCTAATAACAGTTCCCAAAATATATCTTAACAAATATTGTACGTGGCATTGACTTAGACTTTCGCGAATAGACTTATAATTTCTGGTATCTAATAAATATTCAGATTGAAAATATTCATCTATCTACAAGTCTTGCATGAAACATACACATTTGTCCCTTCATGCCAATTGGTTATAAGCAAACATCAATACTATTCCAAGTCATGCATGAAACCTACACATTTGTCCCTTCATGCCACTTGGTTATAAGTAAACATCATGCACAAGTTGTTTACTAATTAGTACTACTCTTATTCAACTTGTATCATGACTGTTTTCTTTCTGTTATTCATACGCCCAAGACATTGTAAGAAATAATGTTGATTATTCAAAATGAATCAACAACTAGTTGCACAGGGTCACAGTCAGTGATACTCCCAACTTGATAAAGAAAGAAAAAAAAGGGAAGTTGACTTCCAAACTAAAATAAAATGTATATAAATATAAAAAATTGTTATTAGCACTCCAAAAATCTCATTTGGCACTCCAAACTTTCTATAGTTAGAAAGAAAAATACACTTGTGCAAAATATAGAATGAGATTTTTGGAGTGCTAATAACAGTTCCCTAAATATATCTTAACAAATATTGTACATGGCATTGACTTAGACTTTCGCGAATAGACTTATAATTTCTGGTATCTAATAAATATTCAGATTGAAAATATTCATCGATCTACAAAATTTTCTCATGGAGGTACCCATTTTTTTGCCACAAATACCAATATAGAGGCTAAAGGACACTATGATATTAAATTCATATACGGTCGAGATATTTATGAATTTAATCATTAAAATGCATAAGCTCAATTGTACATTCAAGTTAGATCAATTACTGAAGTTTTGGTCAACAATAAAAACTGTTTACCTATGAGTTCACCTATAAAACGTGCAAAGGCAATATACCTTTTTACCACAATTCTATGTATTGTGAATTTTTGTCCGCAACTTTTGTGGCATATAGAGGCTAAAAGATACTACGATATTAAATCCATATGTGGTTGAAATATTTATCAATTTAATCATTAAAATGCATAAACTCAATTACACATCCAGGTTAGATCAATTCCCTAAGTTTTGCTCCAAAATAAAATCTGCTTAGCTATGAGTTCGCCTTTAAAACGTGCAAAGGTGATATACTTTTTAGCCACAGTTCAATGTAATGTGAGTTGTTGTCCACAACTTTTGTATCTAATAAATATCCACGATTTCGACAAAAAAAAAATACACGGTTAAAAATATTCATTGATATACCAAAAGTTATCATGGATATACCCATTTTTCTACCACATATAGGAATATAGAGTCTAGAAGATTCTCATTTAATTGAAACATACCAAACTTCATTAAACACTCTAACTATGAGCTCATTTAATTGAAAAGAAAAAGGAATCAATACGTAAAAATTGAACCAATCGATTGAACACAAACCAATTATTAAGCTAATTAGTGCTCTAGAAATTTAGAGATGTCAAATGATGAAGAAAAGGAAGAGGAAGAGGTTTGGATGACTATGGAGTAGTAGATGGGGGTGCAAAATGACAACCATGGGAGATGGAAGGATTTTTTAAAGAGAGAGAAAAGGGCTTTGCTCCATAGAGATGATGGATTGGTTAGGGTTTTATTTTTTTATATTTTTAAGTAGATTGAATTGGGTGTAAAAAAATTGAGTTGAGCTTTGATAAGTAAGGACGGTTTCAAAAATAACATTGGGTGTAAAGAGATAATGATAGATAAATCAAATACAATGTGAATATAAAAAGTAAGTAAGGTGTTGAGATACAAAATATGGGTTCAAATAAAATTTTCCGTCAAATATATATATATATATATATATATATATATATATATAGTGCGAGCTAGTAGAATCATTGACTTCGACTTTCATCGACTGGCTTAAAATTTTTAGTCAATGGTGCCTTAACTTTGGCCCGTTTCTGAATTTGGTACCTAAATTTTGAGTTGTAACAATTTAGATCATAATTTCGTGAAGCATTGCTTTCTACTTTTCATTTCTTTCTTGGGTAAATTACATAGTAGCCCCTCAGGTTTTGAGGTCTATTACAACCTCATACAACAGCTTTAAAACATTTCACTTTCATACCTCAAGTGCTATTTTATTTCAATATAATACATCTGTTAGATTTTCCATTCATTAATCCGTTAAATGCTGACGTGGTTACCACATTCATGCCACATGGCAAAAAAAATAATTTTTTAATTTTTTTTTAAAACCTAAATCTTCTAAATAAATTATAAAATTAAAACCCATCCATCTCCCCACAACCCCCCCCCCACACCAAAAACAAATCCAAATCCTTTTTCCCCCACCCCCACCCACCCACCCACCCACCTCACAGAAACCTCATTCCTCTTCCTCACCCCCCTCATCCTCCTCTCTTCTCCCTCATATTCATCTTCTTCCCCCTACAACCCAGCCCAGCCACCCCCCACCTTCCCTAAGCGCACCCGCACCCACCCTCGTACCCACCTTCTTCCCTCCTCTACACACTCCACTCCTTAAATCCACACCCATTCCTCCCATTTTCACCTCAGGAACCCGACGATGGCGGACGGGATCTGGGTTTTTTTTTTCTTCTTCTTCTAGGTTGCAAGTAGGGGGTCGGGCACACCTGCACCCACCCTCTTCAGTCCTCTACACACCCCACTCCTTAAATCCACACTCATTCCTCCCATTTTCACCTCACGAACCCGACAATGGGGGATGAGATCTGGGTTTTGTTTTTTTTTCTTTTCTTCTAGGTTGCAGGTAGGGGTTGGGTGAAGAAGATGAAGATGGGGGGAGAAGAGAGGGGAGGAGGAGGGG